CCCAAAATCTTTATCTAGCCATCTCTGATCTGAAGTTACACATACTTCACCTCCAAACCAGCATCACTTGTAGCTAAAAGTTCTCAAAGAAATTTAGAAGATATTCTGCAAAAATATGCAGATTATACTCCTTTGTGTGCACATGTCAGTGTTTAATTTAAACCTGAACCCAAAGAACTATACCCATGTGGCTGGACAGAAAGCCCCCCAGCTCAGGAAATAGGGGAAAGAGGAAAGTGGTTTGGCCATCTTTTGAGAGAAGGGATTTGTTTTGATCCAGCGTTTGGGGAATCTGTACACAACTCTGGGAAAACTTCAGCTAAGCCAGGGCTCTGTAGCAGTTATCACCCAGAATGTCATGAGTCACCCAAGTCCCACCCAGGACAGGCTTCTGTGATTACAGCCAAAGGTTACACACGGCTTGTGGCTGGATTAACAGACATTTGCTCGGCCTGTGTCCGCTTATTTACACAGTCCTGAAGGATTACAGACTGACGTGCAATTCTCGGCTCTTTTTAATAGCTAATATTTTCGGGCTAATTCCTGAGTTCCTCTTGGGAGGGGAGGAGGAAGCAAGCTGAAAATGAAAAAGTTTAAAAGAAAAAAGTTTGAGCATCTAGGTAGGGAAAAGAACTCTAGGATAGTAAGGGCAAGCAGGAGAGTAGATTTCTGGAAACAAGAAAAATTGGGTGATACAGAGATTACTGATTAGGAGAGTAGAAAGAAGAACTTTCATGATATTTGGAAAGCAGTTGCTGCATAGTAAAAGTAGATAAAGTACCTGCCAGAGAGTTTTCAAGCAAAATTATTCATTGGTTATTTTAATTAAAAATATGACTACCAACCAAGAAACCCGAGGCTGTGGGCCATAAACGAAGTATTTAAAGTGCATTACATTGATTAATAAAAGGACTCTGATTACCTTGCTGACTAGAAAATTTCATACGAAGAAGATAAGTTTGGTATGCTGCCTATATCATTAATAAGCCAAAAGACGTATATCCAAAGGAGAATTAAAACGTGTAGTTGAACAAACCCTTGGGAACACTTTTAAGGACATTCATTCATGTGTCCAGTACACCAGGAACCAATACAAAGCACCTTTGTGTTTCCGTGAGATTTCTTCTGAGTTTGCTTTCCTAGATACGTCTGCTTGTCTTGGAATAAACTTTATATCATGACATCCCTTAACTATTTAACTGCTTATTGCATTCAGTAATTAAACATTCATTCTTGTATTCGTGTTTTCTTCACGTCATTTTTAAAGTGACCATCTATTAAATGCTATTTTCCTTACTTGTTTTTAAGACTCATATCCCTGCCATTCCTGGGGAGGTCTCTTAAATGCCAGCCAGCAGGTTTTATTGTTTGCCTTGTAAAATATGTTGCTGTTTCAATGAATAAAACATGATTTTATCTGAAGTCTTTTTCTTTGGGTTTTTTTGTTGTTGTTGTTTGTTTGTTTATTTGTCTGCTTTGGTCCTAGCCTTGGAACCAGGACCTCCTGCATGTAGGCAAGCTACCTCCCCAGCCCTTTTTAAAATTTTTATTTTGAGATTTTTATTTTATTTTATTTTATTTTTAGTTGACTTAGTCACTAAGTTGCCCAGGCTGGACACATCTACTTGGGGTCCTCCCATTGTGCTGGGACTACAAGCATGTGTCATTGAAACAGGTTGAAGATTTTATTACTCAGCTTCGATTATCTTTGAAAAGCAACCTGACATATCTCCAACTTTAAGTTATTACTGTCAAGTGCTAGGGAAACACAAGACCACAGTTTGAACATACGTTCTGGAGACTGACTTCCAATTCTGTCCTCAGGTAGGCTGGTTGGAAAGGGATCCAGAGACTTCTTTTTAACCCAATAGTTTTATTCTCTCCTACTCACTAAATCTATATTCGTTAATAGATTACAGTCCATTTTTGATTATTGGGACACTTATTAGAATGTAGATTTGGGAAAATAATATTTAGCTACTAAATTAGTTTCTTAGCCAGCAAAGTTCTGAGTTACCATTCCAAAAATGACACAATGACTTTCATATCAGCTTAAATGTATTGTATTTAGAATTAAAATCTAACTACTTTTTGCAGTCCCATAAAAATACTATAATATATTTTAAAGGAAATAAAATGATTAAAAATTGTTCATTAATCTTTCTTAGGATAATCACATGTTGAATACAGAATCATATTATTAATTACATAAGAAAGTTTAAAGTAACATATTTGTTATAGGTTTTACACACTGTCTTATTAAGCCAAAAGTAACTAAAGGTGAAGAATCCCACCCTTTTGAAGTAAACAAAAATATTCTGTCTGCATGCTAGTTACCTAGGTTTATTTTGTAAAACTTAATTTGGCTCCATGCTTACAATGTGTATACTATTCTGCCTGGAGCTTTTCAAACATGATTTTTAAAAAATCAGAGTAGCACATAGCAGTTCAACAGTCTTCAATGGTCAAAAGTTCTGTTTTTAGTTAATAAATTCTCACAGGTTTTAACCTAGCCACATAACCCTTCAAAGCCACGCAGAAATAGGTCCTATTCTTTAGAACTATTTGAAAAAGAAAACAGCAATGAACAAACTAGTTGTAGGCCTTCTGCTCTAGACTGCTCCAAAAGCACTCCTTTGTGAGTTAAGAGATTGATAAAACTACTTAGGTCTATAGTGGTTAGCCAACAACTAGGATCCTATTTATCATTTCCATTCCTAAACTTCGTATTAAAAGAATTGATGACTAGACTGGAAGTATGTGAAAAAGAACTGAAGTAATGCCAAAGAAGGATGAAGTTTTAACCTGAATTTAAGACTAAAGAGACAGAGTTTTAGACTCATGTTAAATGGATTGTGTTTCTACACACATGTATACCAATGATTTCTTGCATAAACCCTGAAGATAGGTCCCAAGGCCCAGTATTTCTGTGCAGACATGCACCTAGCATACAGAACACTGGAACTCTTTCTTTCCTTTCTCAGGTTCTGTAATTTGCTGTCTCCAAATTGGAAGCCATAGCCCATAGTCCTAAAACTTTGAAAATACACATTACAGTGAATGAAGATTTAGCTTTAGGAGGACCATGGGAGTCAGCTTGCCTTGACAAGAATTTAAAACACAGTTTCTTCTCATTCAGGGGTGGTGACACCAGTATAAGCAGCGGGGAAAAAAAAACCTACTTCCTGAGAGATTGCACCCCCAAATTCCTTTCTTTTTTGAGACAGGGTCTCACTATGCAGTTCAGGCTTGAGCTCACTTTGTAGCCCAGGTTGGTCTTGAACTCATAACGATCCTCCTGCCTCAGCTTCCCTAGTACTGGGATTATAGGCATGCATCACAAAATTTCTTTCTTATAGCCTCAAAACTTTCATACGAATCTGGTGATTTGGCTACTCAGAAAATGAGAACAGACAGTCTTCTAGGCCCAGAGTCAAATAAATTACCCATCACTTTGGCCCTGAGTTATTTTGCATTAGACATAAATATAAATTTTCAAAATACCTTTAAAGTATACTTAACACTCAGGACTTGCTAGCTAATCAGCTGTTCACTAAACAAATTCTTTCACTAAGTAAACTCATAATATAGAAGCAATTTAATTGCATAGTATAGAGGGCTGGGGATGTAGCTCAGCAGCACAGTACCCTGCTTGACAAGCACAAGGTCATGAGTTCAATTCCCAGTACCAAAAAAATAATTACGTAGTATATCATTTTTTTCAAACAAACAAATAATTACATAGTATATCATTTTTTTTCTTTTTAACAGAGTCCCCATGCATTTTTTTAAAAAAATAGATACCTCCTTTAGCTTTCAGTCAAAATAACAATGCCAATTTATCATGAAGCTTGTAGTACCAATTATAAGCACAGAAATGGGCCTTAACTCTTCTATGTACTTTCTTCAGAACTGATGAGCAGAGACTTGAATTAGTACAGAAATGTCTACCATTAACATTTTGTCTGGGAATTTATGGCACTGGTGGTTTATATATGAACAGAAAACATCTGTATACAAGAAAAATAATTGCATACATTCTTATTGCTAAATGCTTCACATGATACCTTATCATCTATTTATTTAAACAGAAGTGACATTAAGTAGGATGTTTATTTGCAGTCTGCTCACCAGATGGCCTAACTACTCAAGTTCCCTCATTAAATAGTTGATTTGGGAAGTCAGAATCAGCGTGCTGTTTATTTGTGATTCCTTAAGCACAGATTCCAGACAATTCCTTGATAAAAAAATTGTGTCCTAGTTCTTGTTTTCCTTCGTTTTGTATAAAAGCAAATATCCTGCATTAAATATACATCTACAGTCTTGATCTGTTATTGTAGTCCAGAAAAGAAAGTTAACTTCCTGGTTTTTCTGAGTTTAGCTTTTGTGCCTGAACTAAAACTCAGTAAAATGATGACGATCACCAAGGTGCCTGGGGCACGGCTTCTTCCATTAATTAACTGCAAGTGGAGGAGAAAATCTTTTTCATACACGTGGACACGAAGATGATATATCTTTAAGTGGCTGTTAACGGAATTCACAGTCACATTGTCTAGATTTAGATCTCAATCATCTGTTTCAAACATAATCTAAAAATATTTTATTAATCTGTGTCATTACATTACATTCAGAAGAGAAAAATTAGAAGCATACAATGCATACTAAATATGATTGTTCAGGATTTCAAATTCTAGGCACACAGCAGAAAGAGAAAAGAAATATATGCAATATATATGCCTATATATACACTATATACATTTATATATAATATATATGTCATAAGTATATGATATATATATATCCATAAGCACAGTAGCTTAAAAAACAATGAAGAGATAAAATTAGTAATATATTTTAGATAAATACTCAAACAATAAGCATTGTTAAAGTATTTATTAAACAATTACATGAGCTACTGGTTTGGAGTAGGTAACTAAAGCTTTGCATTTTTTTAAAAATCCATTTGCTCTCGATTTCACAATTATACCTGTATTTTTTACCTTGTTTATAAGATGCCAAAACCATGTTCTCATCTTCAACTTCAAAAACTGTGTCCACATCTATTTGCCTTTTGATTAAAATAGCCTTCAATTTTCCAAAGTCATTTGACTTTAAAGCCTCTAGGAAATGTTTCTTAACTAACTTGGCAGGTCCAGATTTAGTGATAGGTGCTGTGTTGTCGTCCATCCTCCTGGCCCTCTGGAAGTTTTTTTGTGATTGCACAGAAGAACAACACCAAGCAAACAGGCACATGCTAGCGAGTCCACAAACGGTGGCTAATTTTATCCCAAAGTTATGCTGATCCGTTCTATTTATATAGGGATCATTTCAAACTTCAAAATATCCTTCTTGGCTCTCACTGCATTTTCAGGTCCCTTAAACTGATTATATATTAGCTGATTCATTCAGTAATACATAGTGTTGATAGGAAAGGAAGCTCTCACAATACATTTCCAAGCATGAAATGTCATTGCTACTTCTTGGATGATCAACGTAATAAGATAAGATTTAATATAAGATTCTTTTTTCCTTCCTGGTTAAAACCCTCCGGTGCCTGGCTAGAGACCCAGCGTCTTGCTCTGAATCACTAACAGCCAAAAGTGAAAATTTGTTCAGTTGTTGATACACGCGCTTTTGAAAACCCCTAATAATTTTGTAATAGAAGCCAATGACATCAAACCTAATTATACGTATTTGAAAATAAAATATTTTTGAGTGAGTTTTTTTGATGTTATGAAAAAAGAGGGTAGGACAGTGGCTGAGGGAGTGTTTTAGGGGAAAAGAGACTAACAAGAAAAAACAGCTAAACATAAAAAGTAAGTGAATTTTATTGAGCTTTGTATTTCTCCAAATCAGTTAGAAAATACCATATTGAGATAATTTGGAAATATAAACGTGGGCATTTTATTACCTGAATATTATCAGGTAATAATATGGAATTACTGATTTTTAAGGTGTGGTTAAATGTATTATGCTATGTACAAAAATATTCTTTAAGTGATATAGTAAGGGATAAATTATCATGATATCCAAAACATTTTTTATAGTTATGAGGATCAAACCCAGGATCTTGCATGGCATGTGCTTTACCACTGAACAAACTCCCAACCCTTCAACTTTTTAAAAATAGTTCACATATACAGGAGGTTGGTAGGTAGGTAAGTGTGTGGGTGTGTAGGTGTGCATGCATGTGTGTGAGTGTGCATGTGAATAGAGACAGGGAAATAAAGTGTGAAAAAAGTTAACAGCTGGTGAATTTAATGAAGGATACGTGGTTGTCTATTATTCTTTCACTTTTTCTGGAAGTTTGTAGTTTTTCAAAACAAAAAGTAAGAAAAATACTCGCTCAATTTTTTATTTATGGTCATTAAAAATAGAGAATGATTAACAACAAGTACTAACAAGAATACAAATAAATCACATTTTGTATATTGTTGATGGGAATCAAAGTTGATGTAAACTTTCTGCAGAAAAAAAATAGCAACATGAATTTTTTAAACTTTAAAATAACACTATTATTTATTAGAATTTAAGTATGTAAATATGGATGCAAATTACAACATAATTTTTAATTTATTAAATGAATGTATAAATATTCTGTCTTGGTTACTTTTTTCTCATTGTTAAGACAAAATACCTGATGCCCAGAATTAAGGAAGGAAAGGTTTATTTAGCTCACAGTTTGTGGAGGTTCCCAGCC